AACGTTCTTGATTCTTTATGTTTTATATATCATTTAGTAGTACTTGAAATTTTCTATCGAATGGTATATAATAGTTGGGGTTTTAATTGACTATGATAGGAAAAGTCTTTTACGAAAGTCGCGATTGGTCCATTTTTCCACAGAAAGCTATAGAGAAAAATGGGTATTTTTGCAATAACTCAGGAACGGCTCGACCGGTCTTTCTCATCTTCGAGATCGACCGAGATATTGTCAAGACTAAGCTGTGTAGAAAGTTTCATGACAATCTGACTCTGTTGTCAAAAGTTATTATGTAAACAGCCAATCGGACGGACGGACACACTGACTATTCTATAGTGTACTCACTTTTTGAGTACACAATAAAAAAAGAAAACTTTTTATATATTAAAGTTTTTCGACATCATCTATGATTCCGTCTTATCGCCGAACGAAGGTGCCTAATCGATGAATTGAATCATATATCCTCAAAATTTCAATTATATAAATAAATTTAGTCTCAAAAAAGAACAACACCATATTTGTAGCTTAGAATCGATGAAACAAAAAAAAAATCATTTTACTCGTTGTTTGTGAAAAAAACTTTTACCTTCCATAGCTGCTTGTAAAGCATTAATTGGATCAATTTCTGTAATAAGAACACGAGCACCAAAATTTCGTAAAGCTCGTGCACTACCTTTACCAACGTCACCATAACCAGCAACAACGGCTACTTTACCAGCAATCATTATATCAGTTGCACGTTTGATTCCATCAATAAGTGATTCACGACAACCATATAAATTATCAAATTTTGATTTTGTTACTGAATCATTAACATTAATAGCTGGCATTTTAAGTTTTTCTTGTTTAAGCATTTTATAAAGTGCATGTACACCTGTTGTTGTTTCTTCACTTATACCATAAATACCAGATGTTAATTCCGGATATCTATCATGAACAATACCAGTTAAATCTCCACCATCATCCAAAATCATATTTAATGGTTTATTATCATCACCAAAATAAATAGTCTAAAATAATTTTTATATATAAGCGAAATTATTTTCTCAAACACAAAACTAAATCTTTACTTGTTCAATACACCAAATATATTCTTCATCAGTTTCACCTTTCCAAGCATAAACAGGTATACCAGTTTTAGCAATAGCAGCTGCAGCATGATCTTGTGTTGAAAAAATATTACAACTACTCCATTGAACCTATTATCAAACGATAAGATTATTTATACAAAGAAAAATAATTATACTAAATATATACTTCAGCTCCTAATGCAATTAATGTTTCAATGAGTACGGCTGTTTGAACAGTCATATGAAGACAACCAGCAATGCGTGCACCTTTTAATGGTTGTGTTGGACCATAAATACGGCGTAATTGCATTAAACCGGGCATTTCATATTCGGCTAATGTGATTTCTTTTCGACCCCATTCAGCTAAATTTAAATCAGATACTTTGAACGGTTGTTTTTTTGTTGGAATACTAGACATTGTTGTTGTGTTAGGACGTTCGTCGAAATAGAAATCTGAAAGAGAAAAAAACGTAAGTCCAAAGTGCATAAAGCCTTCGCAAATAAAATGATAAAAGTACAAATCCAATACGTGTCCTTCATACCAAGTACTTTTAAATAGTGCATTAATAGATAAATACTTACTCTTTTATAGTTATTGATAACGTCATAATTTACTTAGTATTTTTTTAAAAACTGCCTCTAAATAATATTTTTTTTTTGGTAGTGTCGCTTGTATATGATATATTAATATTAATTTTGATTCTGAATATCAGTGTAAAAAAAATCAATTCAATAACATACTAATGCTCTGATAGAATATTCATTTGTTTTTATATTTTTATTTCCTACTAATATAATCTATACGATTATTATAGATCGACTGAGATCATCGAAATATAAAAAGAATTTCCTTATAAATGCTAACTTGATAGATATGAATGAATTGTTATGATGTTAAAATGATCAACATACAATGGATTTGAAGCTTTTTTTTTGAAAGACAATTGTTAATAAAGCATTCCATTCCCCACAGCAACATACTTGATATGTATATTCGTAGTCTAAAAAAACGTTTGAATATAATATCAAAGCAAAATCGTATATACCAATATTCGCAGACATCTTTGTAAATGACTAGTTGATCATAAACATGCAAATAGAGAAAAGTTTTTTTTTTATCAGTAGTCTTGTACGTGATTATGAACATAAAATAAATATTTATTATTCATGAATTCTGCCTGTATTTATCTGGGCGCTTACCATTGATATATCACAATCTATTAAACGAAAGTAATATTAGTTAAAAATTTCATTGCTTTCTATACATAGAATACAGGACAATATATGAATCAAGTTTTTCAAGAAAAAAAAATACGCAAAGAGTATATGAAGCAAAAATAAATAAGTCTATTAATGATGAATCTAAAATAGTGTGTTAGAAACACCATCATATACTTATCAATGATCGAACAATTCTTTTAACAAAACTTCCATCTTTGCTAAATGTATACTTTTCAATATTTTTTTAGGGAACATAGTTCTAAAGATGTGTTTCAGTATAAGATAAACAAAAGTGATGTGACTGCGCGTACCATATGTAGCAAAATCATATTTTCGAATTTTCACCTGAAACTTTGCCTATATCAAAGTCTCATATAGATTATAAATTGTATAACAAATTTCAGAAATGTTCTTCGAGTATACTAAATATATTATCTATGAAAAAGGCTTATAACTTGAAAGTTTTGTATCTGAGAGAGACTTCATTCAAAAATAGTTAATTGCAAATATAAATAGAGTCGTATTGAATTATAAAATTCTCAAATAAGGTTCGAGTAGAACTCTTCCATGATGTCTAAGATTACATCATGGTTAGATTATTTTTTGTTGGTATTACATTATTCATGAGTGTAATGCTATTCATATGTATAATTTCTTCGATGAGCATTGAACATTATTGATTTTATTCCAATGAGTTATTTCTATCAGAATAGGTAGCCAATTCCTGGGGCAAAAACATGTTTGATGCATCTAATTATTGTCGCCGTCTTAAAATTGCAGGCACTTTTGAAGCCGTAGGGGATTTTTCAACTGCCATAAATACTAATAACAATACAAACACTGAAACTTCTTTCAACTCTTTACGATGGTTTTTGACTGAAATAAATCAATCTTATGAAAAGCATAAAAGTTATTTTTCTTTCGACTATTTCGGATTCGAAACATCATTTTTGTGTCTTTTCGTAAGATTAATTTATAAAAGTAAAAATGTCTTCGATACTTTAGTCCGTCATGTCAAAAAAATCATTATCATCAAAATTCTATTCAGCAATAACCTGTTTTAGACTTTTATGTGATGGCGCTAGACGATTACAATGTTATTGGTTGATATTTTTAGCAAACGGATAACATTCTCAATGACTGATATAAAATAATGATGTTGAAATAGATTTCAATTACAAAAATTATTTCAAACAACGTACAATGCCCGCTAAAAAGACACGATTTACAACTCTTGATCTAAAAGCATGTATTGCAGCAGTTCGCAAACGGTATTGATATTTAATATGACTTGTTCTTTTTTTTTTTTTTTTAATAAAAATTATTGATTTAAATTTAGCTTTATTGGTGTTCGAGTAGTTAATATTTATGATGTTGATAATAAAACTTATTTGATTAAATTTTCAAAGTAAAAAGTTTCTAATATTTTTATTATAATCATAGTTTTGAATATATAGACCGGATGATAAAGGAGTATTACTTATTGAATCAGGTATACGTATACATACAACTGAATTCGACTGGCCAAAAGGATTAATTCCATCTGGTTTTGCTATGAAAGTAAAAAAAGAAAAAAAAACAATTTTCATTTCAAACAAAAAATTTAATATTTAGCTTCGAAAACATCTTAAATCTCGTCGATTAGAATCTATTGAACAATTAGGTATCGATCGTATTATTGATTTACAATTTGGTAGTGGTGAAGCTGCTTATCATCTTATTGTTGAACTTTATGATAAAGTATTGAAATTTTGTTTTTATTTTGAATTTTGGTTTTTTTATTTAAAAATTTATTTCAATAGGGAAATATTATTTTAACAGATTTTAATTATATGATATTATCATTAATTCGTAAAAGAACAGATGCAACAACGGATGAGAAATTTGCTGTTAATGAAAAATATCTTATCGATTGTGTTAAACAACCTGAAGATCTTATTTCACTTGAAAAGTTTGTTTTAAATAATAATTATCATAATAAATATTTTTGTTTCATGGATTAGATTAATTGAAGTATTGAAAAATGCACAACAAAATGAATCTGTTAAAAAAATTCTTAATCCTCTTTTACGTATGATTATATATATATATTTTCTTGGAAAGTTTATTGTTTTTTTTTTTATTTAAATTTTAGCTTTTGGCTCAGCTGTGCTTGATGAATGTTTAATAAAAGCTGGATTGAATAGTGAAAATTGTACAATAGGAAAAACATTTAATATTGAACAAGGTTCGTTCAGTCATTAACTATTTTTTATAGATCAATCTTTAATTCATTAGGTAGTTTTTATTGACTTTAGAGAAAGCCCAAAAAGAATTCGTGTTTATGAAACTTTCTTCTCGAGTTATTATCATTTTAGTGAGTTTTTCATAAAAAATGCCGCGATTCCCCTCAGTAATACTGAAAATTTTGCTTTCGAATTTCACATAGAGATAGATATTAACAAGATTAATTTATTGTAGGAGTTTCAGGCACACGCTATTACTATAGTTCTAGCTTAGAATAGAAGCAATGACAAAAATCTGAAACGTTCAGGACAAACTATTCTGATCAAGATCTATCTTTATACAAAATTCCAAGTCGAAATTTGAAAGTAAGGTTTTCGATATTCCTGAAGAGGACCACAGCATTTATTAAAAACAATACCGTAAAAGTGCAATATCTCCATAGCAATAAGCTAATCTGGGTCTACATAAGATGCCTAGTCTCTACTCAAAAGCAATTTAACAGTTAGTGACCTTCCCTCCTTAGACCTAATCGATTGTCTTGTTTTTCTAATATGTTCCTAAGCAAAAGCCTCTTCCTTCATTCCTTATGATTGATGATTATTTACTTCAATGAAAAATATACCCCTTTCAATACAATATAACAACACTACAAATGAATTGGTTGACAGAATGTTTCACGACTGGTTTATCCGTTTTTTAGTATTTTCATTGAAGTAAGTCGTAATCAATTATATACTGCACTAGAATATGGTATTTAAGTCATTCTTATCACTAACATTCACATAAGACCAAAATGATTCGAGACGAAAAGAATGAGCGGTGACGACTTTTGACTATGGATGTATTTCATCCTTTTCAATGGAAAGGCACATTTGAAAAATATTGTAACGAACCTTCATTTATTTTTCAGTGAAAACATTGTGAAACAATGTAGTTTCTCACTCAAAGAAATAAAAGCCGAGATTTTGAATTGTGATATGTCGTTATGTTTTTGCGGGTGGTTTATGATCAATTTTAAACGCTATTCATCCCATTGAGAACTTGATTTATCTAAAGTTTAAACTCGAAAGTCGGCTGTAAAGGTGATCACAATGTTTTTTTGAAAACTCACTAAAATGATCTTACTGAAGGAGAAAGATTTATGAATCAAAACTCTTTTCAGCTTTCTCTACGGGGTGTGGGTGTGGATGGGTGTCGATCTTCTATTCCCTTATGCCCACACCCAGTTGAGCTCGACTAACTTTTCAAGTTCTCTCTCAAAATGTCGCGTAATATTATTATAGAAGTCTGTAGGCATTTCGATGATTGAGAACAGTTCGATTGAATTCAAGTATTACACTACAGTAAATTCTTTGTCTAAAATGTTTGCTCTTTCTTTACATTTCTACAGGTCTTATTCTAAAAAAAATGTCATCTTAGGCAATATTAATTTTTTCATTATGAATAAATATACTTTTGCATATTTTATTTTTGCACAATAGATGCTTCTAAATTACATGAACAATTAATTCAAGCAATGGATTATTTAAAACAAGCAGATACGGGCGAATGTAAAGTAAGAAACATATAGAAAAAAGGTTTTTAAAGGATTCTATACTTCAAATTTTAGGGATATATAACCTATCGACAAGAAGGTTCAACATCTCTTCTTAGGTATTAAAAAAAAATCATATTGTTTTATATAAACGAAAAAATTTTTAGTTATGAAGAATTTCATCCATTTTTATTTAAACAATTGGAATCAAAACCATATCTTGAGTTGCCAACATTTGATCGAGTAGATGTGTTTTGTTTTTCATTTTTATCAATGATTTTATTTCTCTTTTTATTAGGCAGTTGATGAATTTTTCTCTAAACTTGAAGCACAACGATTAGAAGGCCACATTGTACAAAAAGAACGAGATGCTTTGAAAAAACTTGAAAATGTCAAAAAAGATCATCAAAAACGTCTTGATGAATTACAATATGTTC